AGATGATTCAGATGAAAACATGTCTAATTTTGATTATTTCTCTGAGGAGTCACAGACAGTGAAAAAACCATGCCAGATCTGGCACAGGGAATATTGTTGTCATTTAGATTTTGAGAAAGAAAAATACCTTCTCTGCAAAATTTCGTAATTTGGAAAGTCCTGAGTTGCTAGCTCTAAAGGCATATGCTGTATTTGCTTTCTTTAATCTATTTTTCAAACTGTTTGTTTTTTAAAGGCGTCACTACGGGTTAATATGTACCATTTTTAAGTTGGCTGAGGCTGTAACCTCATGCATGAACATTCCTCAGGCTTCCATGAAGCTGTTGAGGTTCTAAGCATTTGGTGCAGGAGTTGTGACAAATAAAAACATTTCACCTAAGTCATCTTTTTTTCATAGCATAGATTCTTGCATGACAGAACTGTCACCTTAGAGAAAGAACTAAATGGACTCAAAGTGGATGAAACAAATTGGCTGACACCTTAAACTGGTAACCTACAGTCCCTCTGGTGTATTCTTCAGGATTGTCCCTGAAGTTTATTTTTTAAAAAAATTTACTTCAGGCTCGACGCCTGTACTCAATGGCCAGAATGCTGGCCACATACACTGGGGCTGGTGGGTTCGAACCCAGCCTGGGCCTGCCAAGCAACAATGACAACTACAACAAAAAAATAATCAGGCATTGTGGTGGGTGCCTATAGTCCCAGCTACTCAGGAGGCTGAGGCAAGAGAATCCCTTAAGCTCAAGAGTTTGAAGTTGCTGTGAGCTGTGATGTCACAGCACTCTACTGAGGGCAACATAGTCTCTGTCTCAAAAAAAAATGACATTATTATATGTAAGTGGTCACTTACTAGTGTTCCAGGTGAATCTTAACCAAAATTAGTGAATGCCCTAGCTTAGATGGTTGTTGAAGCCTATATATTTGGTATTGTTTGGCCTTTAAGCTTTTACATTTTAGCTGAGAGAATGAAGAAAGCTTTATATTGTTGCTTGAGAGTCTGTACATTTAGATGACATATGTACTTGCACTGTCAGGATGACAAACGATTGAAAAAATGTTAATACACTATTGAATTTTTAATTTCTTTTTCTGATTCAGTTTTTATCAGGGCTGAAGATCTCAATTTATGTTCATGCTATTAGGGATTTTTTAAAATGTCAGTATTCTTTCTAATAAACTATTGGAAGACTTTATAACAACAGAAAAGCTTGAGCAAGTAGCCTTCTCTGAGACTAGGTGTATTAGGATTCTCCAGAGAAACAGAGCCAATAGGATACATACACACATACACATCACGTTTGTAAGTCTGAATATATGTGTGTGTATATATTATATGTATCTTAATATATGCAGAGGGTACCCAAAAATGTATACACATGTTAAGAGAGGAAAAAAACTGTATTCAAATGGTAATACTCAATACATATCCAAAAGATGAATATTAGTCATGTTGAGCACTTCTTGTAATTGCAGAAGTCAAAGATGACTGGAGTCTTACAAATTTATTTTATTTATTTTTTTTAAGTTTTATAAATTTTTATTTTTTGAGACAGAGTCTCCCTTGGTAGAGTGTTGTGGTGTCACAGCTCACAGCAACCTCCAACTCCTGGGCTCAAGCGAGTTTCCTGCCTCTGCCTCCCAAGTAGCTGGGACCACAGGCGCC